CTCTTGTCCTTGGATCCAGAAAACAGAGCTAACTATAAGATGCTGGCTGATATTTATGTTTCAATTGGGAGAAGGGACAGAGCCGATGATGTCCTGAGAATGTTGATGTCAAAAGAACTGGACTTGAGACCAGGCTGTAGCTGGACTGAAGGTGGCTAAAGATTGCAATACATGCTAGAAGGTATGATTTTAGTATGATTGCATCAATAAGTGTGAATGAACATTTGAATCTCAGTTGGAATTTCTTGTGCCATATAAACAACACTTGTGTTAATATTAAGCAAAAAGTAATCTAGTGCCATTTCAAACTTCAAAATTGTACCTTGTCTCTCTTACGATGTGGGTCCAAGTGTGATCAATGCTGTGTGAAAGATTAGGAGAGTTTGCAGTGGCTAACGAGTAGCTTGACAGGATTAAGAACACAAACATACATGTATAAGGTTTTATTACCTTTTTTTTTTTTTTTGGAGGGGGTGCGGGGTGATTTTCAAAGAAAAATTGAGGAGAACAGAGGGAAATAAGTTAACCATCTCGACTATCATGCTGAACGTAGAGATCCTCTAGAATGCTACCAAATTCAATATTAAGCGCTTGTGACTTGTGAGTTAGGGCATGCTTGGCCTGGCAAAGCTAACCTTGCCAGCCTGAGCAAGCCAAGTTGGCTCACCCAAGGAAGCAAGGAAAAAGCTTGCCGGCACAGACTACGAGAAAATCTTGCCCACTAACCATCCTAGCTTGGCAAGGCAAAATAGTAGTAGGCAAAGGATCCAAGCAGCCCCTTAGTTAGAACTCTTATACTTTCTGAAATAGATGGATTATGAATATCTATGTTGGTAAGGTTTCCATCGTGGTCTAGTTTTTACTGCTATTTCTAAGGATCAACACTATGCAATATTGTACCATGTGCCTAAAAGACAATTACTGTTGTATGTTGGTATTGTATTTGACAGTCAATTAATACTGGTCACCATCTCAGTGGAGCACATAATATGTCTGCACCAATAGCTTGAGATACATGCCAATGCCATAAAGCATATTCTTTTGCTTAGTTTATGCATTTATTATTCCGTCTAGCCTACTTTTCTTATCTAGGTTAGGCCATGTAGACACTAACCATTCAACTTTTTCTTGAACACTATGACGCTGAAAAAGAACTGATATATGGGGACTAAAGAAATTTCTGGAGCTAGTCCCATTAAAGGCTACGTTATTAGGGCTCAATGGCATATTTTAAACTTCTTATAATTATTAAAGTATCACAGGGTCAGTATAAATCAAGATGATTTAAATTTTGAGGGTAATGTTGGGCCTTATGATGTTTGTTCATTTTATGGGAATTGTTGATGCAATTACTTCTCCAATGGGATGATTCATAATAAATATATCATAGTCTCTGTTGATTCAGTTAATAAATATAAAACTATAAATGGTTGGAAAATTTGCTAAATGCCATCACAGGGAGTCCTTTTGTTGGATACAGTTGCAAATGTGAATGGCTAGGAACATTGGAATTTTAGTCATTTCCTTTGTCCAAAGTCACTGTCATAACCATTGCCTAGTGTGTGTGTTTAACATAAATCAGCACCCTTTCTTTTCACAAATTTACCAAGAAGATTCGATCAGGACCTGTTATGTATTTGTGGCACAACTAACTGACTTTAATAGCTTCAAACCAAATCACGCAAAAAAGCTCAGTAGACAAAACACAGCGCAGTACAGTGTATCCCTGTCAGGACTTGGTTGTGTTCTATGAATTTTTTATGTGGGTATATGTTGTAAGTGCTCCAGGTTGCATAAAGTGGTATCTTCAGACAGGTAGATCCCATGTATTCTTCTTACGTAATAATGTTAAACCTTTGTCTTTTTTGGTCAAGTCCTCATGATTTACTTACCACGGCCTCTAGAATCAATATGGGGAAGACCTCATTCTTTTTCCTAGGAACATGAACATCTTTTCTGGAGATAGAATCCACAATTTGAGAAGGTTCTGAACTTCTGAAATTTTCGTTCTAAAATATTTATTTTGAACGCAAATTTTCGTTCTGAAATATAATATTGAATTATTGGCAATTACAGCATAGTCTGTTTCACATACAGTTTTACAATGTGCCAGAAGATCTTTTTCAGAGTAAATATAAATTACTTCAGTTGGAAATTTCTGTTTGTGTTACTATTAAGTAATAAGTCCTCTAATGCCATTTCAAATTTGAAAATTCAGCTTGTGTCACTGACAATGTGGGTCCAAGCCTGACACAGGATGTCATGTCAGAGATTAGGAAAGTTTGCAGTGGCGAACAAGTCGCTTGACAGAATGGAACACAAAGAGACATGTGTCAGGTTTTAATATCAACATGAAATGAGTGTTGAATGTTAAGATGATCGTTATAGTTTAACTCAAAAACAGAGGGCAGAAAGAAGCAAATTAATTAAGCACCTAGACTATTATACTGAACCTAAGCTCCTCTGAGTGCTTTTAATTTCAATATTAACTATTAAGTGATTGCAACTAATGAGTTAGTTAGAGCTAGGAATCTTATATTTCTTGAATAGATGAAGTATGAATATCTATGTTGGTTAAAAGGTTTCCATCTTGGTCCATTTACTGCGCTTTTTTCTAAGAATTAACACAATGGAATTTTTTAATTATGTGCATGGAAGACAGTTATTGCTGTTATACTATTTAACAGTCACTTAGTGCTTGTCACCATCTCAGTGGAGTACATTACGTGGTTCCACCAATAACTTAAGGATCCATGCTATAAAGCTTTTTTTTTCTTGGTTTACATTTACTATTTCCATCTACCCTACTTTTCTTATCTAGGTTAGGCCAAGTTTAAAAAGCTTTGTTTTTATTGTTGTAATTATTAGGGCAAGTAAACATTAACCAATCCATTACTTCTTGATCCCTATAATACTCAAAGGAACTGGCGATAACATGGATATCTGGAGCTAGTCTCATTGGAGGAGGAAAAAAGGGGTTTAACACTGTTGTGATTTTGGGTGCTTGGACACTTTGGATTCAGACGAACAAATGTGTTTTTGATGGTTCCTCTCCTTCTCTCAGAGATGCTCAACAATACTTGGAGGAAGAGATGAGGATGTGGAGTACGGCTGGAGCACGAAAGCTCCAAGTGTTGGTCGGTCTTCCCTAGTAATAGGCGATGTGTCTTCGGTTTTTCTTTTTTTGTAGCAACCTGCCCTTGACATCCTGTTGGGTTAAGGGGTGGTTGGTATATACCCTTGACTTCTTTCTGGGTTAAGGGTGGTGTGTGTTTCTTTTGTTTGGGCTGTTTTCTCTCCTCTATAATATATAAAGACGCGCAGTTCTCCTGCGTGTTCGAGGAAAAAAAGTCTTGTTGGAGGATATATTATTAGGGCTCAGCGGCATGTTTAAAATTTTAATTATTAGAAGTATCATGGAGTCAAATACAAATCAAGAATGTGAAAATTTTGAAGCTAATGCTGGGCCTTATGGTGAATATCATTTCATGGGAATCGTTGATGCAATTACTTCTCCAAGGAGATTCATGATAGATATATGAATATATCATAGTCCCTGTTGACTCAGGTAATATATAAATGGCTGGAAAATAAGCTAAATGCCACCACATAGACTCATAGAGCCCTTTAATTGGATAGCATCTCATTTTCTATCTCCTAAATCACCCTCAGATAACCATTATCTAATGTCTTTTTTGTTTTAGAAAACATCTGACCTTTCTTTCAGCAAATCTTACTAAGAAGATTCAATCAGAACTTGCTATGAATTTGTGCGAAACAATGTGAAGCTAATAGCTTCAAAGCAAATCATGCAAGAAGCTCAGTAGGCAAAACATAGCAGTCCATTGCACACTGCACAAGACCCGTGTTGGTAGTGATTGCTATCCTTGTCTTGACTCTGTTGTGCTCTATGATTTTTTTGTTTAGATATATGTCGTAAGTGCTCTAGGATGTAGAAAGTGGCATATTCAGATGGGTAGATCCCACGTATTATTCTCCAGTAATAACATAAAAGTTACAATACTTTTTCTCTGTTATTTAGTCAAGTCCATCATGATTTACTTACCACTGTATCTGAAATCAAGATGTAGAAACACCTGTTCTTTTTTCAAGGGCCACAATCATCCGTTCTGGGATATAATCCACAACTTGTGAAGTTTTTGCTAAATTCCCTTTCTAATATAGCATATCAAATTGTTGACATGACAATGTAGGCTGTGTGAGATATAATTTTTACAATAAACCGGGAGATATTCAGAGCTATGAATCTGTCCATACTGTTGCATCTGAAAGTATTACCTGTTTTGGTGTTTCACGTTATCAAGCAGATGTCCTGTGTGACTGCACAAAACATTGTAAGAAACTCTGATCTGAAGAAAGCATCACAATTTATTAGAGGGGAGTATCAAGTGAAATTCTGACATCCCATGGAAATCTGAGGTTTTGTTCCCAGCTGTTGGAACCAGGTCCAAAGAAAATTTTATCCCCATCTGTAAGGACTTATACTAAATGTGAGAGTTACAAGACTGTCAGTTGTAGGCTTTTAGTTTTCAATTTTGTTGGGTAATCTGCACAATAACTTGATTCATAATGCAGATGAAAGTTGGTTTAAACCTGACCGATATACAACATGGTCCACCTTATTTTTTCCAAACAAGTTTCTTCCATTAACATGAAATTTTCTGGTACGGGTAATCCATTCTTCACACTTCAATATATCTTTACACTTCTTCAATATATCTTTCTTATAACTAATGAAGGATTCACTAAAATGCTGTGATTTTCCAAAGGCATATCTTGTGTTTCCTCTTCAATCCTCTTGATCAGCAACCAGTTTCCTAACAATTTGATGTATACTAGAATTGCCTTCTGCTATGTTTTCAAGTAAAAAGAATCTATGAAGCTGATGCTGCTTACCAAGGGAATAAACATAAAGGCATGGAATTTTGGGCGTTTTACTGATATTAGTCTAATAATTTACATATCCTCTTCCTCTCAAATCAAATAGAGCAATTCACTTGACGGTTCTGCTTTGCGATGCCTGCATATAGATTAAGTAAAGGGTATGAGAACTTTTAGAGGAAATATGATTAAATCTGTACAGATATCTCAGTGCAGGCTTACATTTTGTCCGGAAGCAGGGCTGCTTCAGTGCTGGATCATCTTCAGGAGGTTGCTGTCCAAAGATCATCTCACAGCTCATGTCCTCAAAATCTGAACAGTGGTAATATAGTAGACATAAGTACATAATATAATATTTCATTACCCCTGAGAAAGGGCTTATTAGAACAGAACATAAGCTAGTATCCTCTTTTTTTTGTATGAATCAGATATAGAGATAATTTAGTAAGGTTTAAAACACTGCTTTGCAATATATAAGAATGGAGAAAGTAGTGAAGATAAACCTGCAGACCATAAGTGGTGCCATTAAGCTAACATTCATGGTTGTTACCACTTATCGGTGATAGCAACTTGACAGGACAAAAAGAGTGCCTAGCAAATTCCAACACAAATTGGTCTCGAATTATCTGGACTGATGTCATTAAATGTCAACATCTTTTGACCTTGATACAATGATTTGTTTGGTTGAAATATTCACCAGGAATGAGTCAACGTTCAAAATAATTGCTTGGGGTAAGCGAGATTAATACTCTGATCATTGAAACATGTTGGTTCTGCGATGTTAAGTCAAGGTGCCTGTACTGTACTTGGTAATAAGCACTAAATTGTGGAATGGTTGGAATAGACACTATCATTTCACAACTTGTCTCTATTATAAGCAGTTTTCCACTAAGAGTTACAAGTAGGAGCTACCCCATTTTCTCTGTACAGCTTGATTGCAATTGCTCTACAACCTGCAAACATGTTGGTCCCACTTCAATCTTTTCTGTCCACCAAATGGCACCTTGTGATTCCCATGCCCAAAAAAGGCATAGTGTCTCAGTTCAGATGGTGTACGTGGCAGGATCATGAGATTTAACATATCAAGTTAACTTCTGTATTTTTCATGTGAGAATCTTGGCGCGTTGCTTTCATAGGTAAGGTTCCATTTCAGAGCTAGTATGACGAGTTGTGTGGCTACAGAGTACAGACATCTTACATGAAATGTCCATATATATAAGGACTTCACCAGCACTATTTAAAGTGGAAAGATCATATTCTAAGTTCCCTTCCGTTTGGTGGCAATCAGTGTAATGTTGAGCTATAGAATAATTAGGCTTGTGACCAAGGACGTTACAGTTAAGGTTTTGACACAATTTCTGACATTGAGATGATGTTGGCTTGAGTGACAGTCCACTAATTTCCTCCCAACTTTAGTCAGGGGCTGGAGTAGATTATTTTTCTTGGATTCTAAAACTTTGAAGTAATTTACTCATTATATGTTGTTCTCTCAGGTAGTTGCTCCATGGATAAGACCAAGTGGAACTTACTGGGAGACATGTAGACAGCCGTGCCAAGTGAATCTTGGATGAACTTCTGGCATGGGATTTTGCAAAGGTTCGTGCACATTCCGACACAGTTTGTGCTTTCCAGAAATCTGTCAGAGTAAGATAATGAAGAAAAAGTCAGGAATACTCTTGACCATTTTTTGGTATGTCTGTACCTTACTATTGGTTTTTCTAGAATTCTTTTTGGGGTAGTTGCACTGCATGGGTAGAATTGTATATTGCACTAGCCTGTACTTTTTTTTTCTTTTTTCAACTGTATCCCTATTTTTGTAGCTAGTCTGTGGAGTATGAGTAGGATTGCGAGATCGCCACAATTACGACATGGGTAGTACATGTTGCATCTCAGCCTTAGTTCTTCCATACCTTTTCCAAGTGGTTTTACTTGAGTAAAGATTGACGAGGTTTATGCTGAGCTAATTTACGGTGCAGATTCGTAACATGTCAAACCCACAACAGCTAATCATGTTTAGATGGATCTTAAGAATTTGTACTAGCTACGAAGTGCTTAGACCCAGAAATCGTTTGGCCAATATAAATATATGATGACACATCAGACTATTTATAATTATTTTGTTTCAGTTATATTTGTACCTGTTAACTTCTATGACTAACCCAGTCTGCATTTAACTTTTTTATTCAACCAAAAATAATTTCTGGATGACGAATTAATACCTGCATTTGGGTATGTAGACCACATTCTTCTCTTTCCTTCCATCAACTTCAGATTCCCTGGCCTTGCAATGTTCAGTGACACAATGATTACTCATACAACTTTATGGACACTGCTGGGGCTGCATATATATGTAAGAACGCAAAAACCATATTGCAGCATGTTCCATCCATGACTGCATGTTCCACTACTATATGCACTATATGCTCAGCATTGACCCTTAACAATACTCTGTTCAGGCCTTAACACTGTCATTTCTGGAAAGAAATATCACATGGAGGAGAAAGAGCGTTTGAACAAGAAGGCGAAGTATGTGTATGCATATATGTATTATACCTCACATGGTCCGACGAGCCAAGGGAAGAATATCGTGGTGAAGGCGGCAAAGTACTCCCGAGAAAATCTCGAGGGTGGCATCATCACCTTTATCTGCATCCGCACCGGTGCAAGTGCTGTCAGTTCAAGATGAGGTAAAATACAAACAAAATTCACCTTATATTCAAAGAACCCCCTACTTTATAAACCGTCTATAATAGACACCTCGTGTTTTTCTCCTGCCATTTTGAAAGTATTTTTTATCTAGCTTGCAATAGTTTTGCGGGGAGCATATATAAAAAGTATACTTGCCATTGTGAGGATGTAGCTGGGGAAAGCCCGTTCAAGAGCGCTGGCCACAGTCTCCCACTGCTGATCAACCCTGAACAGCGCGGAGATGGCCAGTGCCGCCTCTATCAGGCCTTCATAGCCGTCCTTTCCGTTCTTCATCCCTGCACACATCCATCAGACATGCGTGAACCAAATGCTGGTAGGAGTAGCAATCACATGACTGTAGAGAAATTTCTTTTAACATCTTTTCATGCTTTTTCCCGCTGTCAGCGCCGTGCTGCGAGAAGGTGGGAAAGAAATGAGAGGGCATGCCCGGGATCTTGTTAATTTGGTAGGGGCACACAGGGCACTGTGGAGAACAGTGGAGGACACCGTGGCGAACACGGTGTTTTGCAGCTGATGTAGGCCGGCCGTTCAGTTCATATCCGACGGACGAGGTAACGCACAGATCGGAGCTAGTGTTGTACCACATGCTCGCCTAATCTACTACTACTACTACTACCACCCCCAAAGATCAGAGAATCTTTGTACTGACTAGTGGTCTAGTGGGTTCGAAAGAATGCACAATCTAGGTATGAGGCTTTTAAAGTTTTAAGTGTAAGTATGGCTTGTTTGGATACTTTAGTACTAAAAATTAGCTATTAGCTAGCTAATAGGTAATAGCTATTAATTTTTATTAGTAAAAGACCGCTTGATTCATATGCTAATAGGTGGTTGGATGGTGAGTTGATATAAACTATTATCACTCATTAGCAACTCCAAACCAGCTAATGGAACTAATAGTTAGTAACCCACTAGCTAATAATTAGGAAATTTATTAGCAGGTTTATTTGGATCCAGTAGTACTAATTTTAGCTTTTAATTACTTTTTGAGAACAACTTTAGCTTTAAATTGTTGGTGTTAATGGATCAAACAGATCCTATATTTATGTTGTTCACACATGGTCGTACATGATTCTAATGGAACGCCCGAGCCCGTATAGACAACCAAACATACTCTAATAAATAGAACATCGTGATCTTTTCATGTGTATCTCTATATAACTAAGGCCCTGTTTGGATCACACGGGCTAAAGTTTAGCTCAGGGCTAAAGATTAGCCCTTGAAATGAAGAGGCTAAAGTTTAGCCCATTGGCCTGTTTGGATACATGACTAAAAGGAAAGAGAGTAAAATCTCATGTTGCACTTTTAGTTCTCTTTAGCCTACCCTGCAAAGGCTAATGGGCTAATGGGCTAATGGAGGGCTAAAGATTAGCTCCTCTGTTTGGATCCCCAATGGCTAAAAGATGGCTAAAAGTGAAGGGCTAATCTTTAGCCCCTTGGATCCAAACAGGTCTAATTAAACAACCTTACTGTTAAGTGTTAACTAACTCTGGTGTTCTTGCTTATATATGCTCATTTATTTGGGTAATTGTGGTTAATTAATTTCTACGGAAGGAAGTCGTTGACCACCATTATATTCCCTGCCTGGATATCTTATAGCGAAAAAAAAAGAAAGAAGTCCCAAGGATTAAGGATGGATTCACAGGCACTACTAGATTCCTAGACATGCGCACCTCACACCTGTGCGAATCGCGGCTTTGGACCTCTCTTTGCCGATACGCTGATGCACACTCCCGTTTATTGCAATATATAATTGTATACCTTCTATATATTCAATTGAAGTGTGTGTGTGTGTGTGTGTATAAATAAAAGAGAAGCCTTTCATATCATTTGGCTTAAATAACGCACCCAAAAAAAAACACATATAAGTCGATACAGAAGTTTATGTGAGGCTGAAAAAGTAGCCATCAACACTAGTTGTTAGTCCCTAGAAGTCGAGGAGGATATATCTATGCTTGTTTTGGACAGAAAAAACTTAACGTCACATCGCGTGCAGTCGCTTACATGGTTATCAACATCGATCGACACCATCGATGACATGGTACTACTCCTATGCGCAAAGGAAGCCAAAACTACTAGTACTAGGCTACTAGCACATGATATTTCGGCTGGTTGAAACTTGACAGAAAACACTGTTCTGGCTGAATTATTATAAGAGAAAAATATTTTTCCGACTGAAAAAACAAGCTGAATAGTGCGGCTTATAAGGTAAGCCGAACGGGGCGATGAATCCAAGCCCAAGAGAGTGAGAGAAAGACACGCGACAGTTTAACAGCAAAACATGTCTCTGTATTTTTTGCACAGGGGAAACAAAACACGTCTCTGTATTTTTGCAGGGGAAACAGTGCGCGAGACACTACGTGCGAGCAGCTCTCTTTTGGAATAATAAAGCATGGTATTGTTCGCCCCAAACTTTGTCGGCTTGGTTCGTGTCCGGCCGGAGAGTGAAGCAATCGCAGTCATGGAAGGCAGAAAGTTTCGATCATTCCAATGGTGGCGAGAACGAATGAGTACGTGTGCAGGCGCGCAAAGTACGTACCAGAAGCTTCTTGAAGGTTCCTTGACAGGTACCCGATGGCCAGCTTGTCGAACCAGTTGTCGCGGTACGTCGTGGTGGTGGTGGCTGGCGCTGGCGGCAGCGGCGCTGTTCTCTCCCTCGCTGGTGGTGGTGGCGCTGCCGTCCTCGCCGGTGGCGCCGGCGCCGGCGCCGCCGCTACCTCCTGCGGTCTCGCCATGACGGCTCGCACGGTGGCGAGGCGCTTCCTCCTCGTGTAGGTGTAGCTCTGTTTCGTCACAGAGCGTGCTGCTGCTGGTGGTGGTGGTAGGACGCCAACGCCATGAGCGTGAGCAAGGAACATGCTGCAAGTGGCGACCTCCATGTCTCCCGTTACTCCGTTCCCTGCGTGCGTCGAGTGAATGAGAGAGGAGGGGAGAGAGAGGGAAGTTGCGATAGAGAGAAGGTGCTCGGTAATATAGCTCACGTCTACGGCGTTGTGGTTTGTTTGACTTGATATATTAAACGCAGAGAGCAAGGTGCAATTTGCAAAGAGAGGCCGGGGAGCGAGGAAGAGCCCAAACAGCAGGGAGGCGGCATCTTCCGTGTGGTGGGCTCGGAATCAGGGAGGTTAGCTGCAGCTGCAAAAACATGCCTGCAGTGGTTCTTACTAGTAGTAGCATAAACAAGGTGATATTGCAAATTGCAGTGATGATCTGTAATCTAAGTTATAGTGCGCATCGATGCCGCGGACAGAACAGCTTAAACTTTTGAACCAACTTATACCATGTATGAAACTCAAAATATATAAACCTTTATCACGCGCATATGACTTGTTGCAATTTGAGCACTGTTTTTTTTTAAATTTGAATATAGTTACAATATCTAACAAATAAATGGGACCATGAATGTGATTTTCATGACAACTAGTACCTCGCTCCATCCTAGAAAAGGATACAATTCTAGATTTGATCTGAGTCAAGTTATAATTGACAAAAATTATAGAAAATAGTATCAATATTTATGACTCAAAAAAGATATACCATGAAAAATATATTTTATGACAAATCTAATGGCACTTATTTAATATGCTAAATATTAATATATTTTATATAAATTGGTCAAGTTTAAGACATTCTGACTTAGCACTATGCTAGAGTTGTATCCTTTATGTTTCAAAACTAGATAATAATTAATACCAAAGATATGCAGCCAGACATGCAAAATTCCATTGCTTGGAAATGGATCCCTGATGGTGTATACTCCACCCGATTGGCATACCGCAATTCCAAGGGAGTTTCAGACCCAGCCCATTGAAATCGGTGCTTGGTGGGAACAAGCGGCTGCCAAGATTTTATGCCCAAATAGCCCACTTGGAAGCGACCTGACGCATCAACTACTCACGCCATCATCAGACGCAAACCTCATGCTTATCAAGTCATAACATGCAGCGTGACATCACTGTAGTGTACGGTCGCAGCAGCCAGACCAATCATTCGGCGGTCCCTGCTGCTTCTGTTGCGTGCTTGCTGACGACATTTGTGCCCAAATAGCCCACTTGGAAGCGACCTGACGCATCAACAGATGAAGCCGACGAGGGAGGCAGAGTTAACATTTGACAGCCTGTCTCCAGGAGCCAATTGGGCACAACACAGGAGTATCTTCTTTCCAGGTCAGCGGCAACTACTCACCTTAATGCAAGGTTTTATTATCTCTTATTTATCATCACTGCAAGCTTGACTCCACACATGAAGCTCACTGACTGGAGGTGTTTGCACAAGGGTCACTGGGTCCGGTAAAAAATCTCATATCTGATGATGGCGTGCAAATTTGCTCCCTTTTTCCAATTTTCATATATTCAGATTGATTGGAATACAGGCACAAAGTTTAAGGCGTTTTTCTTAAAAAAAAAAACATAAATAAGCATTGGGGCATGGTAGCAGGAAGAAACAACCCCACCCTGCCACCCCTAAGCCTTCAACAAACCCATCCATTCACGAACCACAACCAATGCTGCGACGCACGTCAGCTCACGGTCGCCTTGCCGGCGACTTTCTGCGCGATCCAGCCGAGGCCGTCGTAGAGGCCCTCGCCCGTGATGGCGCACGAGGCCTGGATGTGCCAGTCGTGGTTCTTTATGCTGTGGAGGGAGAGCGCGTCGGTGATCTCCGCGGGGGGCATCGCGTCCTTGAGGTCCTGCTTGTTGGCAAACACCAGGACCACCGCACCCTCCAGGTCCGCGTGCTGGAGCAAGCGGAACAGCTCATCCTTGATGATGTTGATCCGGGCGCGGTCCGTGCTGTCGATCACCACAATGACGGCGTGCGTCCCTCGGTAGTATGTCGCCCATGACGTGCGCAGGCTTTCTTGCCCTCCTAGATCCCAGACCTGGTTCATTCAAGCAGTATGTTAGCACAAGCTGTATGTATGGCAGCTCAACTCTTATGATATAATAGGTTCGGCTCTGGAAAATGCACTGCATGTGGTCAGAATACAAAACATACACGAAATGAGCTTGTATTCAAGTGAAACATGTATGTGCTGTTACCGGATTTGTTACATAATGTTAGTATATACAAGTAACACACCACTATTGTTGATAAGCAACAAGAACAAAGGTCTCCTTTATCCTGCAGAATTAAAGAGCTAAAGACGCGACCTTGACACCACAGAACTAACATGTTAAATATCGTCACAAAAGTTCACACCACTTGCAGCAAAATACTTCTTTCCAGGAGACAAGTGAGCATTGTACCATGTCCTGTCTTAAGCATTTAAAAATTATGGATTCTTTGTCATTTTTCTATTAGCAACTCCCTGAACAGATGTTTTTGTTTCCTTGAAGAAAGCATGAAGAAAATAAATGTAGCACTATAAATTGCAAACACTTATTCCATAAAGTGGTGCTTTGATGGTACAAGTTGCCGAATGTCTGAGCATCTGTGTTTTTTATTTTTCATTTTGCAATGCAGCCGCCCAAAGAATATATTCTCCAATCAAAGGTATGATTACAGACAGGTAATATTCTTAGAAGTGTTTGCACAGGCCAACAAAGAGTTTTAATGTTTTAATACCCATTTCAGTCTATGGAAATTTAAAAGTTTGGAGATGGAGAGTAACCTAAGGACTCAAATCTTCTAAATCTTTGCCTAGTGAATTTGATACAGTTTAACTGATTAATATAGCACAACCATATGATGATGAACAACTCAATATTTTAAACTAGCAAAAATATAGAAAGCCTACTCAAAGATGGAGGCTGAGCCTAAAGGAGTAGGCCACAACAACGACAACAATGATTAGATCCACTAGATTAGAACTGGAGGTTGAACTCACTAATGTGTTACCCAAACAAATATGCAATGGCAAGATTTATTTATTTCATCACCAAATTGACTAATGTGTTAGCCAAACAAAAATAAAAATACTAGCTGCTTGTTTGATCTAGAACAGGAATTAGAAAACCAGGTTGGAATAATCCCCGTGATGAAACAGAGAAAACATCGTTGTCCATTGTCAATAGTCAGGTGGCCATCACAGCTAGATTAAAAGGTTGAGGAAAACAACTTCCAAAGGACAGATCACACACATAACCACTGAATCCTAAACTGTGTAGTACTCCGCTTCTAATAACAAGTAAAAAACAGACTAAAGGGCACCAGGCAAAGGGTTGTGGACTTGTACTGTCAGGGTTGATGGATTCATGCAGCACCACCGGCATCTTATCGATTCGCAAGCTAGAGGATCTCGATTTGTCATGAACTCTCAAGAACAACCTCAAATACCTACAATGGCCCTGAACACAGCTAGTAGGTAGCAGGACATCTCAAATTCTCATTCCTCCTATGAACAACGCAACAAGGGGAGCCAAAGCGCACAAAATTCCACCTTTCCCCTCTACGGCTCTGCCTGCACAAGCATAGATCTTAGGCCCGCCTGGCCTAACGGAGAAACCGGCCGCCGCAGCGGCCGATCCAGCGGCGACCGCGGCGCAGCGAATCCAGCCTCGAATTCGCGCTTTATGGCCCACTGTGGCCCCGGGTGGGAGGAATGAGGGAGAGAGGGGACCGGGCGGGGGGAGCTGACCTCGAAGCGCAGGTTCTTGAACACGACCTCCTCGACGTTGCTGCCGATGGTGGGCGCGGCGGTGACGGCCTCGCCGAGGTGGAGCTTGTAGAGCGTGGTGGTCTTCCCCGCGTTGTCGAGCCCCACGACGACGAGCTTGTACTCCCGCGCCGGGAACATGAGGAACCACACGCGCGACATCCACGCGCCCATCCTCGCTCTCTAGCTCCCTTACCGGTGAGGGGGCAAATCTGAATCTTCCGCGCGCGCCGGCGGTTGGTGGGTGGATTAATTGGGGGATCGGGCGCTCGGGGTCGGATCGATCTCTTGGCGGCGGCGGCGGAGGAGGACACCGGAGTCGCCGGTGAAAGAGACGAGGAGGAGGAGGAGGGGAAGGAATCGAGTCGTCGCCTGTCGGACGAGGGAGGAGGACACCGGAGTCGGGGTTGGATGGATATTCGTGCTCCGTTCGTGCCAGGCAGGAAGTTTCTTCCGTCGTTTGGAGAAGGAAGAAAGCGTGTTTTGGGCCGGGCCGGGCCGGTATACGACCGACGCAAGGGGCAGGATTAAAGTCCGGCACATTTTATTCCCCTCAAAAAAAAAAACTCACACATTTTATTTACATATATACAAATTGCTACTCCGTAAAAAGAGAAAAAAATGCTTTAGACTTTGCATTGAAGTTCATAGAAAAAAGGCGGAGTATATGTTACAAGAGCTCTATGTTAAAATGAATTTGCATGGAATAAACATGGTATGACAGCTCTTGATCCACGAGCTACTTATCTCCTTGCTCGCTGCAAATTTGAGAATTTCAAGCAGCCCAGAGGACCTTCCAAAGAACTAATTGATCCGGGTGACGAGCTCCGTCTCCATGTACCATGGCTTCTGGTTGCAGTTCACAAACAAAACCGGGTGTGACAGTCTACCATGTGTCCAATCTCGTACCATATCATCGACTTCACGTAAACGAACACTTCAATGTTCTCATCCATGCCAAAATCAGGACGCGTTTGGTTTCACCCGTGGATCAGCTTTTTCTAACTTTCGCTGTTGGAGCATGTGAAACTAAAGTTCTTTAAAAAATGAGTGGTAAAATAGCTCCTTCTGGTAGATGCAAATGATGAAATGTCTATAATACCCTTCTATTTTTCTTGTCATTTTCTATTTTTTTTCTTCCTTATTTTACCTTTTACCTCTTCTAATATCCAACTTATCTCCACCGTCCTCATCAAGTCATCGGCATCATCTCTCTTCTAAGCCCGCCGCGCTCTCTCGGATGTTGCCCTCGGCCTCACCACCTTGCCTGAGCTTAGACTCACCACCCCGCCAAGTCTCGAGCCTCAAACACTGCCTTTTGCCTCACCTCCCCTCCCTTCCTCGCCTGGGCTCCGCCGCCGCCCTCTGCCTCACCACCCTGCGTACGCTCTGATCCGACGTTTGGGCTTGTCTTCTCCACCGCTCAGGCCTAACATCATACTTCGCCCCAACGCTGACGGATGGCGCCGCTCCATCTCAACAGCACGCTCAGGCCAACCTCAATCTCTCCCTCCGCCACATTGGGGGCAATTTTCGCTCTCGGCCCACAAATACGAGGATGGAGCGGAGGGAAGCCACAATTTTCAGCTTCGCATCCCACCTATGCCTTCTCTTGACAGGATTTGTGGGGCTTCACATGTGGAGTCAGAGCGTCTCGACGCATTTGGTTGGCGGAGAGGTGGTGAAGTTACATGTGAAGTTGTTAGTGAAGCGCAACCAAACACGCCCTTAGAAGGTGCAGCTTATATTTAGTTTGGGTCAAGATTTGAATAGCATGAAAAGGGAAATGACATGAACCCCAGGTTGTTGGACAAACTCGTCTGCAAACCAACTAATGTGAATTTTATACGTTTACTTTTTCTATCCCAAAATATTAGCACATCCGTGATTTTTTTTTTCAAAATAAAAGTATAATATAGGCTATCACATCTGCCACGCATGGTGTAGAGTACCATTACTGTAGACCATTAGCAACCCTGTTCACAAGACCAAGGAGATAAAAAGAAACCAACTCGCCAATAAAAATGAAAAAACCGCCGAAGGCTCTAGAAGCTCCGGGTCCACTAGTTCACACAAATTTGTTGTTGGCTTCTTTTTTCTATTGTTATTCAATCATTACTATATGTGACCAGTTGCACTTTACAGAGGATTAGGGGTAACATGTAATTTTTTACTCACACTAATTTACATATGTGCTTTTATTTTGGGACAGATCAGTATTAACTTTTTTTTTTGAAACGGAGAGGAGTATTTCGTATATTTTATTTTAAACAAAAATGAATAAAAAGGTAGAAATTACTAGGCACCCTGGGTGAAGGATGTAGATCCATCTTCCGTAGCCACTTCCCATTTCCCCGGTCCCCATGACCCCGTCCGCCGTGCCTCACCGGCGCCGCGCCGCCGAGCTCCCGAGCCTTTCACCGCCGGCGCCTCTCATCTACCGCGAGCGCGCAACATCCTTGATCCACGACTCCTCTTCCCACAAATCCACGAAGCGCCAGCTCCATGGCCTCCACTGTACCTGTGGGGGCAACCCACGGTGACGGCAACCGCCGGCGGCGGCGGGCCAGCCGGCGTCACCAAACATGGTAGACGCTTGCGCGTGTTGAGGTCCGCCAGCGACTGCGCTAGCGCCGCTGGGCGGCCTCTCAACGGAGGGCGAGACAAGCGGCGGAACCAGGACGCCCAAAATCCCACGCCGCAATGTGGTCATGTGCCCGCATCTCCTCCGCCGTCTTCACCACCGCTGCTTGCTCCTCACCGTCGCCGCGCGCTCCCCACCTCTCCCTCGCCTCAGCCACGGCGCGCGTGCGGTCAGGGACGCTCCGCCCTGAGGAGGCACACCACCTGTTCGACCAATTGCTGCGTCAAGCCACCCCCATCCCCGAGCGCTCGCTGAACGGGTTCCTCTCTGCGCTCGCGCGTGCGCCGTCCTCCGCCGCCTGCAGAGATGGCCCTGCCCTGGCCGTCGCACTCTTCAACCGCGCGTCTCGTGCTGACGGGTCACGGCCCACTGGTGCTGTCCCCCACATTCCACACCTATGGCATCCTCATGGACTGCTGCACCTGGGCGCACCACCCGGAGCTAACGCTGGCCTTCTTCGACCAGCTCTTCAAGACAGGCCTGGGAATCAATACCATCATCATCAGCAACCTTCTCAAGGGCCTTTGTGAAGCAAAGTGGACAGACAGACGAGGCTCTGGACATCCTTCTCCACAGAATGCCTGAGTTGGGGCTGTGGGCCTGATGTTTTCTCGTACTGCATACTTCTGAAGAGCCTCTGCAATGACGGAAAGAGTGGCCAGGCAGATGAATTGCTACGCATGATGGCTGAAAGGAAAGCTGTCTGCTCGCCCGACGTGGTTGCGTATACTACGGTCATCGATGGCTTCTTTAAGGAGCGCAATGTTAATAAAGCATGTGATCTTTTCAATGAAATGGTGCAGCAGGGCATTTCTCCTAATTTAGTGACTTATAACTCCGTTGTTGATGCACTGTGTAAGGCCAGAGCAACGGACAAAGGTGTCTGTGCGAAATCGTACCCAACAAGTAAATATTTGTATTTGTAGTTTTACCGTGCGTTATGATCGGATATGGCCGAACACTCAATGACACAGGATTTATACTGGTTCAGTAACGGGCCCTACGTCCAGTTGAGGTCGGTTGGTGACTTTAATCCTGAGCATAGGTGCTCAAAGTTTGCTGTGGGGTTACAAATGAGTGAGGAACGAAGGGGGGGTGTAAAAGGTCCGGTTGGACTCTAGTCCGAGTGGAAGAGAGTGACGGGGGCTCAAACATATGTTAAGTGTCGGAGCGTGTGCTCTGTGTGTGCCCCTGTGTCCCGAGCTTGCGAGCTGTTGAGACTGTTGAGATCGTGTTCGGTAGCCTGTGTAGCTGTCCAGTCGCCAAGTCCTCAAGTCCTTTTTAGGAGAGACCGCATCCCCTTTTATAGTCGAAGGGGATGGTCTTACAAGTTAGAGAGAAAGAGAGTGTATACGGGCGCTGCTTAGTCTTGTTGTCCACGCCATCGGGTACGGGATGGCCATCGTCGCCCGCCATACTGTTTACGCCGCCATCGCCCAACTTACTGTTCATGCTCTGTTGTATCTAGCAGGCTACACAGTGTTCGTCTGGTATGGCAAACGACGACGCCCACAATATTGTTTATGCTCTGACGCGTCTGGCAGGCTGTATAGTGTTCGCCTAGTATGGCAAACGACGGCGCCCACAATATTGTTTATGCTCTGATATGTCTGGCAGGCTGTACAGTGTTCGTCTGACATGGCCCGATGACACTGTCCTGCAGGTGCGCAGGGTATGGCAGGGTACGGTCTTCGGCATTACGGTTGACTTGAGCGTCTTAACTTATCTGCTCCGCCTGCTCTCCGGGCCCACACCGAGCGGGCGTCCTCGGTCGGTCGTTCCCAATCGGCCCCGATTGTATCGGTCAAGAAAGAGCAACGAGCAGAGATTCGGCGTATACTCGGTCAGAGAAAGAGGGTCGGAGTCGGACTATGGTCCCACCACGGCCAGGCCTTCCGGTCGGGGTTCCGACTAGATCTCCTGGGCGAAGGTGCCGGTCGGGAACCGGATCGTGGTCTTGGCCTGTTATTGTGTATCTGGGCCGGCCCAGGTGCATGCTGTCGCTGCGCCGCCTGCTCGAGAGGGTGACCCAGCAAGAGGAAGGGCTTTGCGTTCTCGAAAGCGCCCACCTCGGTACGTACCTGTTCTGCCCTCGGTTGATGCCTTGAATTTTTTTCCTTGCTCCTGAATTTGTCGTCTGTTTCCAAAACTGGGTGGAAAGATCGGCTCTCTGGAGCAAGAGCTGGAGACGGTCAAAGCGGCAGTCGGTTAGAGCACGAAGGCGCTAGCCCAGTCCCTTGAGGAGCGATGCGCTCTCGAGGGAGAGCTCGACCAGCTTCGCAACATTGCGCAGGTGGTGGTCTCTAAGGTGTTCGGGTCAGGACCGAGCACTAGTACGCCCGCCGTCCAACTGGCGGAGGTCCCGAATGAAGTTCGGGCGCTCATCTCCGATGGCATGTTCTACGGGACATCGAGGGTGCTGGCCTCGGTGGCGACCCACTACCCTGATATGGACTTCATGGCCATTTGCAGAGGATATGCCAACGGGTGGAGCGCAGACGAGATCCATGCGTTGGGGGAAAGTTTGGTGCTGCACGCATAGGTGGTCGCTGAGCAGGTCACCGCGCAGTGGGTGATGGAGGTTCGTCGTTCGACCGTGGCCGCAGATGTGCGCCGAGAAGACGTCGTCCAGCCTACGGAGGTAGCGGAGGCCGGGTCAGAGGTGAGCGTCGTCCCGCCCCTAACCGAGCCGAACATCGTCCCGATCGCAGCCGAGCCGAGCGCCGTCGTCCCGACCACAATCGAGCTGCCTTTGTCCTCACCAACCACACCGTCAACCGACATAGCCGGGGGGCCACAATAGAATTAGAGTAGAAATAGTCAGTTTATGTAAAAGATGAATTCGTGGGGGAGCCCCCGTATGAACAGTTTTACATTCATGAATATTTTAAATTTATTTTGTGATGGAATCACTCGTGAGGGGAAGCTTGTCCCTTCCGCCCTTGTTTTTATCCTTGCGTAGCTTTGTTTTTTGTCCTTTTCTTTTTCACACCTGCTCGTTAACTCGTAGCCTGCAACCTTAAGAACCTAGGCGTGGCCCGCGAGGCTCAGCTGCTCGTAACCGTAGGTCGTGGCTGAAAGCTCTAGTTTGGTTTTGGTAAATTGATGAAACCCTAAGTGCTAACCTAGTTCATCAAGTGATCATGAGATAGGTAGCACACTTCAAGTAGAGAAGCAAATGAAGATCATAACATGACAATGGTGATAGCATGGAGATGATCAAGGGCTCAAACTTGAAGAGAAGAAAGAGAAAAACAAAAAACTCAAGGCAAAGGTATAACTTGTAGGAGCTATTTTATTTTGGTGATCAAGACACTTAGAGAGTGTAATCACATTTAGGTTTGATAGCCGTACTATTAAGAGGGGTGAAACTCGTATCGGAATGCGGTTATCAAAGTGTCACTAGATGCTCTAACTCATTGCATATGCATTTAGGATCTAGTGGAGTGCTAACACCCTTGATAATATTTGTGTAAATATGCTACCACATGTGCACAAGGTGTTTGTAGGGTTGAGATGGGTTTGGGTCCCTCTCTCCCTCCCTTACGAGCTTCTGAGGCGATTCAACCCGGAAAAATGAAATGTCTATTTTCTATTGCTTCGGATGTAAAATTCTTGGTGGTTGGCACACTTGAGCAAGGGTGAAGAAGTAAGAGTTGAAATGGAGTTGATCGAAATGATCTTTGGCGTCGGTCTCATCGACCGATCCATGAGTCACTCAATGGGGACAAAAAGTCGCTAGTCCGGTCGAGCCGTCGACGCACGATGGCTAGGGTTGAGCACCGGACGCTAGTCTGCGTCCGGTCAAGGTGGACCGGACGCATCCGGTCGAAAAAACATGCCTCGAGGAGCTTACTGGAAACGACCGGACGCTAGGGCTTCAGCGTCCGGTCGGTTTCTACCAGCGTCGGTCGGCTCCTTGCAGTTGAAATCGGACGAAACAGCATTTCAAGCGAGGGACACGTGGCGTGAATCACGTGACCGGACGCCGAGGGCTGAGTCCGTCCGATCGGACGGAGCGTCCGATCACCCACCCAGTTAATGCCCAGAAGGGGTACAACGGCTCTATTTCACTGGGGCTCTATTTATAGCCCCATGACCGGCTCAAGCTCATACTTTTGGCCATTTCTATTGACATAGCATACTTGTGAGCCTAGCCAAAGCCCTTCCACTCATCTACATCATTGATTCATCATCATAGTGAGATTGGGAGTGAATCCAAGTACATTGCTTGAGTGATTGCATCTAGAGGCACTTGGTGATTGTGTTTATCGCAGGATTTCTCTTGTTACTCTTGGTTGGTTGCCACCTAGACTAGGCGGCTTGGAGCAGCAAGGATCATTGAGTGGAGGAGGTGATTGTCTCCGACTCCGATCGTGGTGATTGTGAGGGGTTCTTGACCTTTCCCGTGGAGCCGCAAAAGGTACTCTAGTAAATTGCTTGTGGCTTGTGTGATCCTCATCTTGTGTTGGTTATGCGGCACCCTATTGAGGGTTTGGCGAGTGATGCCAATCAACAACCTCCAAGTGAGTGAATCGCCACAACGAGGACTAGCTTGTGAACCTCGGTAAAAATTATTGTGTTCATCACTTGATTTCGAGGTGATTGGTCATCATTGTTATTCATCTTCGTGATTGATTGGTTCATTCATCTACACGGCGGTATAACCCTCTTGATCACTCTCTTTACTTTACCGCAAACTAGTTGACAAGCTCTTTAGTGTAGCTAGTTGTGAGAGCTTGCATGCTTGGTTGGTGTGGCTCTTTAGTTAGCCTTTGAGAGCACACTAACATAGGGTAGTGTCATTGCTCTTGTGTGAATTGACACTATCTAAATTAGAATTGTGGTAGGTGGCTTGCATTTTAGTAGGCTAGCGCAGCACTCGCTTCGCCGCAAAATTGTCTAACACATTTTGTTAAGTGTTGTTGTAGAATTTTATTAGGCTATTCACCCCCCTCTAGCCATTAGGACCTTTTAGTGGCGGGGTGTGATCGGTCGGGAGGCTAAAGCGCAAGTTATGTAGGGTAATCAAAGGAACGGGATGCCCTTTCGTTTGGGCGACGCCCGTTTGTTTGGGCGAAAAATGTTACTACATGATAGTAAAAAAGGTGTGGTATCGCACCCCCATGGAGCCCTTGAGCGACCTAGGCCAAGAGTGCTCGGGCTGGGGTGCTGTAGGAGCAAGCATTGAATGGAAATAAATGGTAAGACCGAGCTTTAGAGAAAAAATGACATAACTGTTCAATGTTCCATGTGTTGGTGAGAACATTGCCATTGTCGTCCTTCAGCCGGTAGGCGCCCGATCGGATCACCTCAACCACTGCGTACGGTCCTTCCCATGGTGGAGAGAGCTTATGTTTGTCCTTGGTTGACTGGGTCCTCCAGAGTTCGAGATCACCGACCTCGAGGATCCTCCCCCTGATTTTTCTTTCATGGTACCTGCGGAGAGTTTGCTGGTAACGAGCGGAGCGGATGACGGTCGTCTCACGAGCCTCCTCGAGCAGGTCGACCGTGTCCTGCTGAGCCTTCG